CAGCTGTGGAGCCACAACAGGGCAGTAAAAGAGCCGCATGTTGCTGACCCCTGCTCTAGGCTGCTCTGGTTACAGGTTATCAGGTTAAAAATTCTGATCTGTTGATTAGAAAGCTAGCCAGACTGCACTTTATGGCCAGAATGGTGGCCATACTACATGCTGGGATGGCAGTGGCCACCTCTGGCCACCCCTTGGCTACGCTTCTGCTAAAAAAATGCTTGCTTTGCAGTTAAATAACCAAAACTATTATCAGTATCATTTATAATACCAGTAATATAAATAACAGTATTCATGTAAAATAAGTCATACTAATCATTTGCATTATTGTTACAATTTTCCTGTAAGGGAGCTTTAAGAGGCGGATGTCTGGTTCCTGTCACCACCACTGTGAACAATTCTGACTAAGTTCATTCAAGTTTCTGACTCAGGGCATCAGAGTTTGTGCATAATTCAATCGCGAGTGGTTTAATGCGAAACGGTTCATTGTAGAGAAACTTCTGTACGACGTACAAGAAACTTTCTCAGATGTCTTTACAGTGGTGGTGATAGGAACCAGGGGTCGCCATGACTACAACACAGATATAGCCATTTAATTTACTATCCAGAACCACCAGTGAACCTACACAAGTCTTCTGAGCTTTATATGGCATGATGATGATGATAAATAGTAGAAATGTAAAAAAAAGAATAATAATAAAGTTTTCTTTGGGGACTATTTTGCTTCAAAGCACTCTTCATGTACCCCTCCACCGAGAATGGACTTCAAAAACGTTCTAAAATCTTCTCCAATGGGCCTCACTTCTTCTTAAAACCCACTTACACAGTTTTCACGAAGATTCTGACGTTCACCAGTGTTTTCTTATTTGGGATTTGTTCTTAGGTAAGAACAGAATCTACACACACTCAGGAGCACAAAGGTGAGAACGGTTCTGCGCTGTAAGAGCTCATTATAAATCTGACGTAGACTTTTTCTTAGGACCTTTCTCAGGAACACACTTAAGAACAAACTTAAGATGTTGGTGAATGAGGCCCAAGGGCAGCTTATTCATAACCATCTCATGTGAAGGAGCTTTTAGAGGCTTTAAACTCTTCAGACGTCTGGTTCCTATCACCACCACTGTGAAGAGCCCTTGAATATCAGAATACTAGTTTTGTATTAGCAGAAAATCATAGCCGTTTCCTACACCTGCTGTTTATAGCGTTGTGCTCTGTGCAGGTTCTCTGATTTCAGTAATAGTAGCTGGCAGTGGTGAGCGTAGCATTCATGCACGGTTGTTTCCTGTTTGTCAGCTTACGCTTTACCTTGAGGGCGTCTAAGGCGATGCCGATCGAAATTATTCATACACATCATGACTGGCACTGTATTTTGAGTCAGTGGTTTTGCATAGCGCGCTTCACTTCACTGATATGCACCACATTAACGCTGCTCAGATGTAACTCGGCAGATACGGCGCACTGTGGAGTTCACATAGCAGTCACTCACTGCTGCCCAGACTCAGAGCTGGAGCTTTAATTGTGATCCGGCTCGTGGAGGCGATGGGTGGCCCGTGGCGTGGCATGAGGGAGCCTTCAGTAAAAGCTTATTGAGAAAGTGAATAACAGCCGAGCGCCCGAGGCCAAACCGCATCAACACCGTCTCACTCTCCTCGGCGAGATGGAGGGATGTGCTTAACGAGCACTGAGACGGTGCCCAAAGGTGGACGATCATGAGACAGCGGATGTCATCAAAGCTGACCCGCACATCACTTCAGATGACTCAGATTACAGCCATTAGTCGCAGTGGTCAGAGAAGCATGCTGTAGTTTAATATGAATGACTTCCCACTCGTAGCTCTGTGGAGGAATTGTGTGGAAATGCGGGTTGTAAACTTTCAGCGTTGTGTTTCTAAGCAGGAGAGGAGATATTTCATCATGATTTGAATTTGCTGAGTCTTGTTTTGTGAGAAAAAACCTCTTTTACGGTCCTGTTTGCCCTCCTTTTGTCATTTTTTTGACAAAATATAAGAAGCGCAGACTCAAAACCTGTCAATACAGAATGTAAATGTAATGCAAATGTACTTGAAACTGCTAACTTTCTCATCTTCGGGGGCCACTGAGAGTCTGACCTTCTCCTTCTCCAGTCTCCTTACCACGCTTGCTGTAGCACTGTGAATAAGCTGAACATTAGTGCTAACCTACCCCTGTAGGCTGTGCCCCAGGTTGTCCTGCAGCCTTGCACTGTGCATTTTATTCCAATAGTGATCTGGATGAAGACTAATGTTGATTCTGCCTATACCAAGTGTCCCCTCTCTCCATTCACTGTGACCATTGACCTCAGACAATGTGCAAGGTGATCTCAAGCTTCTTGCATTGCATATATTTCAATGTATGCATGATATGCCGTATTCCCGTTATGCAGAGTTCATATAATTGCTTATTACATGCTTATAACATGGGAAAGTGGTTACCCTGTTCACACCCTGTATTTGATGCAGTAAGCCAAATGACCACTGTGTGCATGTTGATATATGGAAGAAGTCAATAAATGTGCATAGTAGTCTTTACAAGTTTTAATGTGTCTATAAAACATGAGAATCATGATCTGAATTCTAATCCGAAAAATCACGATTCGGGTTTAATGTAGAATAATCCAGCCAGGCCTGCAGACTGACGTCCAGACCACAGTGGACAGCCTCTGCGGAGTGAACCCTGCTCTATAAGTCAGCTCTCTGGCAAGCGCGCTCAATTGAGCTGAACAAACTGTAGCTTGAACCGCAGCAACGTTTTTCTGTTTGTCATTTTCTGAGGGGCCGTTTGAAGGCTTGGCGGGTAAAGTTCAGCGCACATCGCAGGTGCTTTCCGTGCAGCCCCCCCCAGAGGGCCGTGCGAAGTCTGAGGTGGGGAGAGCAGCGGCCCACGCGAACAGATTACGTCCCCGCCTCAATCCAACCATCCAGCAGCGCCTGGTAGACGCACAAGCATGGGCAGTTCTGCATTCTCCGTCTTCATTATCGCAGCAGACCGTCTGAATCAATCTCTGCCTCACCTACATTCGCCTCCTGTCAGTCATCATAATCTCCATTAATCTCCACCGGCTCGCACTGGGCATGCTCACGGCGCACCGAGTCGAGTTCACACGCAGGCTTGGGAAAGCGTACCTGGCTAACCACACTGACTCACTGAGTGAAGTCAGTGTGTCCTCCTGGAAGTGGAGCCCCGGGTTCTCATTCAGAGGCATGGGAAAATATATCTAACAAAGGCAGAGTGGAGTCAGCATATTGTTCTGTAGGGCCTGAAACAGATCTCGCCTCATTCGCTAATGCTTATTGTGCATCTTCTGGTATATTTATGGGGGGCGGGGCTTGCTTAGCATGCACACTAGCAAATGAGTCAAAATTGAAAAGCTGGAAAACATAAGACACCATAGAAATAGTCGCACGTAAAGGTTTCAACACCGCTGGTCAAATGTTTCTTTTACAGGGAAGACACACTTAAATATGACATTTTAATACAAATTTTAGCAAATGTTCCATTTATTTGCTGAGGTTAACATATTAACACACTGTTAAGGGTTCTTTAGTAAAGAAAATGGTTCTATATAGAACCATGAATGCTCAAAGAACCCTTTGCATGACTAAAGGCTTCTTTACATCGTGAAAATGTTCTTCAGATTGATGGAGAATGTGTTATATATGGTTCTATATAGTACCACAAAAGGGTTATTCTGTTGTTACAGGCCTGACATTGTAACAATAAAGGAACCATTTTTGGTGCTATATAGAACCATTTTCAGAAAGGCTCTATATGGAAACATTTACAGCACATTCTCCATCAATCTAAAAAAAAACATTTAACGATGCAAATAACACTTTAATCATGTAAAGTGTTCTTTAAGTGTTTATGGTTCTATAGAACCATTTTCTTTACTATTTTCTACCACTATTTTTAAGAGTGTACAAAAACATAGAATAGAAAATGACTTTGGCACAGGCTACATTTTATGTTATCTTGAGTTCAGCAAATAAACAGTAATTGTGCATTATAATGTGTAGTTATTACTACTAATGTGTACTTATTTTCAATCAAACCATTTTTTAAAATGTATATGACTGTATTATAATGAATCAGTGGGGAACCCTCAGGGCCTTCTATGCCTGCTAAAAAAGTACATTTGTTTTTTTTTTTGCCAATTTTATGTGTAACAGAATTGTCACGCTTGTTGTATAAAATCATAAAATCCTAAAAATTGTCTGGAGGTTCTAGATACACCCCTGGCTGTGAATACGAGTCGTAGTCTAAGCAGTGTTCTGGTTAGTCGTTAGGAATGGAAAGCAGCGGCGGCTGTACTGAAAGAGTTACTGTAAAACTGATACATACAACCTCAGTGTGTTTTACCAGCTTCAAATGTCCATGTTGAATCTAGAACTAAGAAACGTTCATGAGCGCCACTTTTAGGTTAGTACTAACATGCTGTTAAAAGCATAAGTAAACATTCATATTTGTTTCTTGTATTTTGACCTATGTAGCACCAAAAAGGGTTCTTCTGTTGTGTGTCTTGACAAGCTTTTTCAAAAAAGGTTCTATATAGAATCACCTACAGCATGTTCCACATCAATCTGAAAATCGCTTTCACAATGCAAAGAACCCTTTAATCATGCAAAGGGTTCTTTGAGTGTTCATGAACCCTTGAAGAACCATCACTTTTAAGTGTGTACTAAAGAGTGTAATTAGAGCAGAATGAAGTATTATTGTGTCTTATTTATGATATGATAGTTGTATTGTGGACAAAGCAGCTTGTCTTTTTTATATATATATATATATATATATATATATATATATATATATATATATATCTCATCAAAATAATGCAGACTTGTCATATAACTAATGCACCAATGCACTTTAAAGTGAGTTGTATTCTAACTGCATGTATTTTCTCCATATCATGCAGCCCTAAAGACTAACATTGCCATGTTGCAGTGTTCTCCCATCTTGATCTCTCCCTTTGTTTTCCGTTTGCAGACACGGCGCAGGAGCTGGACTCGGAGCTGGAGCCGCCCGTCCGGATGGAGGAGGAGAGGGAGGTGGAGCTTCAGGTGGAGGAGGAGGAGCAGCCGGAGGTGATGAAGCAGCCGGAGCAGCCGCCGTCCTGCTTCAGTGAGCCGAACACGCAGGGCATCATCAAAGGCAGCGACCTGTTCGGCTACGTGGGCATCGAGGCCGTGCTGGACCAGATGAGGCGCAAGACCATGAAGGCTGGCTTTGAGTTCAACATCATGGTGGTCGGTGAGTTTGAGTTTCACCTGGGCTTGAGCTGAGAGCGTTTACGTTCAGAAGATTGACATGAGCAAAAACGCAGGCTAATGGTAATCTGAGCGTGACAGCGACTTCGTAAAGAGGCATTTAAGTTATGTAATTGCATGAATGGTCACATTATGTGGGTCTGATATTGCCAGTACATGATTAGTTGAGTCATCGTTTGCTACTCCAGAAAAACATGATGAAACAAACCAAAACAGCTTTCATCTGTTGGGAAATGAACTTGCGGAACATGCTGAGTGGGTTCAGCATCATGGTGTACGCTTCAGCTCGTTGCTAATGCAGGCTTTGGAACACTATATGGATTATCAAAGGATCATAATCACAGTAAGCATAGTCATAGCATAAGGTGTATGTTACACCGATCAGGCATAGCATTATGACCACCTCCTTGTTTCTACGCTCATTGTCCATTTTATCAGCTCCACTTACTATATAGGTGCACTTTGTAGTTCTACAGTTACAGACTGTAGTCCATCTGTTTCTCTGCATACTTTGTTAGCCCCCTTTTACCCTGTTCTTCAGGGGTCATGCCCCCTATGGGACCCTCACAGAGCAGGTACTATTTGGGTGGTGGATCATTCTCAGCACTGCAGTAACACTGACGTGGTGGTGGTGGTGTGTTAGTGTGTGTTGTGCTGGTCTGAGTGGATCAGACACAGCAGCGCTGCTGGAGTTTTTAAACACTGTGTCCACTCACTGTCCACTCTATTAGACACTCCTAACTTGTCAGTCCACCTTGTAGATATCAGAGACGATAGCTCATCTGCTGCTGCACAGTTTGTGTTGGTCATCCTCTAGTCCTTCATCAGTGGTCACAGGACGCTGTTGGCTGGATGTTTTTGGTTGGTGGACTATTCTCAGTCCAGCAGTGACACTGAGGTGTTTAAAAACCTCAGCAGCACTGCTGTGTCTGATCCACTCAGACCAGCACAACACACACTAACACACCACCACCACATCAGTGTTACTGCTGAGAATGATCCACCACCCAAATAGTACCTGCTCTGTGAGGGTCCATGGGGGTCCTAACCACTGAAGAACAGGGTAAAAGGGGGCTAACAAAGTCTGCAGAGAAACAGATGGACTACAGTCTGTAACTGTAGAACTACAAAGTGCACCTATATAGTAAGTGGAGCTGATAAAATGGACAATGAGCGTAGAAACAAGGAGGTGGTCAGAATGTTATGCCTGATCGGTGTATGTTATTGTTGTAGTAGTATTAGAACAATGAATGACTTGCACATGCCTTTACACGATTTGTTGAGTCATTGTTTGCTACTGCCAAAGAAGTGACTGATGAAACAAACTAAAACAACTCCAGTCTGGTGTTTTACTTCAGCTTTGGTCCCACAAAGCAGTGGTAAAGCAACTTAGGTCAAAGAAAACTCAGGCACCTAATACTGGTGCACACTGCCAACAAACTAGACAGAAAATCAGTACAGTTATGATTCTTCAATGCGTCACAAAATATCAGGTGTCACCCCAAATCGATTTTCAAATCAGTCATTATGGTACAACTCAGAAAGACACTGCAGTCATGGCTGTAAGGAATTATGAGAACACCAGAACTCCAATAATCTCTAATTATGAAGTTCAGTGTGGCGACGTGTTGGCCGAGTGTAGCTTAACGAAAGTGCCCAATCAGTGACACCATTGGTTCACAACTGACGTCAGAGTAGCTGTTTGGCCTAGGCTTGGCCCAGGCTTGGTCACTGCACTTGAGTACTGCAGGCTGCCCCTTCAGATGAGTGAATGAGCTAATGCTAACACTAGAGCTAACTGATGCAGCTGTACCTTGTACACAAAGATCTTTGTCCTCAGTAAATGATGCGTCATGTTAGTTTTTTGATGTAACATTTACAGAGTAATATCTTTATTGTTTTTTGGTTCTAGCTAACACTAGCTAGAGTAGTTGACTTAGCTGACCGCTGCAGCTCCTCTACTTTGGCGCTCACATCTTGACAGTGTGTCCTTGGCAACAAGCTCATGTTAAGAAGGAGTTCCACCAATTTTTTTTTGTCAAAATTTCTGAATAATGCAGTCCTTGAGATGTAAACAGAATCATTCAGAACCAGGGGTCGCCATGACTACAACACAAATATAGACATTTTATTTACTATCCAGAACCACCAGTGAACCTACACGAGTCTTCTGAGCTTTATATGGAATGTTGGTGATGGGAAAATAGTCATAAATCTGAAAAAATAAGTTTTCTGTGGGGACTGTCTATCCACTTATACTGTTTTGTGTCTGTGCTGTTATCCGGTGTCGACCAGAGGAGGATGGGTTCCCCTTTTGAGTCTGGTTCCTCTCAAGGTTTCTTCCTCCTGTTGAGGGAGTTTTTCCTTGCCACTGTCGCCAAGGCTTGCTCACTGGGGGCGTGGACCCGGATTCTCTGTAATTCTCTGACCCGGATTCATTTTACGCTGAAACTTTGTCACAAAGCTATCTTAAAACAATGTGTCAGACATCAGGCCATGAATTCATAACCATTTCATATGTATATGTGACTACATGAGAATCATGTGTATCATGCAGTATCTCTTTCACGTGTTTATTTATCACTGGCTATAAAGAAATAAAGGGGAATTCCACTCAACAATTCATGCATTTCTTGGTGTGAAACGCTCTGTTCTAGAGAAACTGAGTCAGACCTGTTCACAGGGGTGGTGATAGGAACCAGACGTCCACCTCTAAAAACTCCCTCACAGAAAGTTAATTCATGTAATGCTTATGAATTCACTGCCTGAGACACTTTTATGAAAGTTTTGACCTAATATGATTTTTAATTCAGTCTTGAATAGTAATATAATAGCTTTATTTGTGTTGTGGACATTTGGTTCCACTGTAAAGAGTCGGCAACTTTCTCTCCAGCATTTCACGTCAAACCACACCTTGTTTACAACTTAAGTATTGAATTATGCAGAAATGTTGAAAGTTCAGTGAAAAAGGTTGTGCTTAGACGCTAGTTAAGTAAGCGTTAGCTCAGTTTTGGAGGTTTGGTGCTGCTAAACGAAGCGAATTTGGGTTTCGAAGATCACCAAAGTTGAACTTGATGTGTAGCGAAATTAATTCACTGCAAAATTCTGGCTCATCTGCATAAATTCCATTGAACTGAATGTAATTTCGCTCACTACATTTTCCTCACAAATGCCAGTGTGACTAGGCCTCAGCGTACATGTAGGCTAATGCAAGTCGTGTGCATGTAATGACTGCCAATAATATGTTCACACAGTACAAGGAACCACTCAACCCCATGTGTGTGAGTGAATCACCATGAGTTCACAGCTCTAGCTGAGGCCCTGCTGAGTGTGAACAGTCCGGTGAGGATTCGGGGCGGGGGTGTGGATCCTTCGGCGAGTCGGCAGAGAAAATTAGCCACGCAGGACCACACAGGCCTGCGGAGGTGTGGCGTGTGAGAAAGAGAGCTGCGTATTATTCTGCTTTTAATCGGTGAAAAGGCCAGGCAAACACGCTGCGAGCTGCTTGCGGTTAGAGTGCTAGCAGGAAGGCTGAGGCTCATGACAGAGGAAACACAGGGGCAGGTGTACAGGAAACAGTGGAACCGAACGAAGTCTGAAGCTCAGCTGTTTTTCAGACACTAACATTAGCGGTTATTAGACCTGACGGCCTTATTATTTAGCAGCGAAGCGCCTGTTGTCGTTTTAGCTTAGCTGGAAATGTGCCCTCTTTGTCTGCCAGATGCTCCGGCAAGCTGGTGATTTTAGATACTCTTGTAATTAGAGTTCCTTCTTTGCAGAGATGCACTGATATGAAAGTTGGGGGCTGATGTCGATATTAAATGCATTTTTCATGTGCATACAGTACTGTGCAAAGGTCCGAGACCACCCTTTATTCATTTAATTTCCAGTGAAAATGGCAATTAAATGCAACTGATTCACTTTTCAGCATCCAGGAAACTAAAAGGGAGCATATTGAAGAGACAATGATAGTCGTGTGTAAAAGTCTGATTAAATACCATGTTTTGTTGATTTTCTAAGTGTTAGTAAGTTAATACGTCCTCTAAAGAGAACACAGTTCTGCACATATTAATGCACAGTTACTGCTTACTTGCTGAATTTAACATATTGGGTATTAAATGAGGCCTATTATTTGTTAAACCTGGCTAATAAATAGAAATTGTGCACTAAAATTAGCTGAAAAAAGCCATGTGCTTCCTGTAGAGGATGTGTTAACTTAATTTCACTCAATCGACAAAACATGGAATCTGACCAGGGGTGCCCAAACTTTTGCATTCGGCCGTACACAAAAGCCTCAAAAACTAAACAAAATATCGAATGTTGCGACATTTGGCATGTCCACCCTTTGACTTCCATTCTTTTCAGGAGTGTTGCTTTCAGATTTTTAATGAAATCTGCAGGGATATTTTTTGCAAAGTTCAGTCTTAGAAGTTGGATTTTCACAGTATTGGATATTGTGGTGCTGATGCAGATTCATAAACAATCTTAAAAAATTGAAAACTTGGACTGCATCTGCCTGAATTAGCAACAGAGTTATAGAGGGTAATATATACTCTGCTGTCAGAAGAAAACCTCATATCTCAATTTTTGTCATTTTTCAGTTTTTGACATATTTTGAAAATACCTGTTACCCTTTACATTGTCTGTAAATTTCATGAAGAGTGAACCAAAGGAAACGACCCAAACTGACTTGGAAAAAAGTCTGCTTCCATTGACTTACATTAAAAGTAAAGTAGGTTTTTTCCTTTTCCTGTAAAGTTACCATTTTGGAGATATGAGTTTTTCTTCCGACAACAGCGATATGCAGCAATATAATGTAGATATTTTAGCGCGGTAACCCAGCATCGCATAAACGCTCTGTATAATAAATGCAGTAACAAATATCAGTTTGAAACATCAGCCAAATCTAAACATCTGTCCGATGCTTCAGACTGTAAGCAATTATCTGCTGATATGGATATGGATCCAGTATCATGATGCTTT